TGGAGATTTTGGTCCAGGTATAACCATATTAATTATTAAATTTTCTTTTTTAACTCTTTTTGATGGTAGAAGATTTGCATTTAAAAGTAAAATTATCCAATAGTCATTCTGTTTTTGTTTAAAAACTTGATAGCCATTTATAGATGCAATTAAAGCAACATCTCTATAATCTAAAAATAAGCCTGATACTACTAAAGTTTTATATCTATTACTATCAAAAACATCCCCAATTTTGCTATTCTTAGAAGTACTGTAGTGCACTGACCAAATGGCCCAGGGTATAATACAAAATACCCAACAAAAAACTTACAAAAGACTTGGGTACATTATACAGCAGTGGGCCAGTGACGCAAGAAAAAAAATTTCAAGCATATACATATTCTGCACTTACAATAAGCAGTCTAAAATCTTTATTTAATTAATAGAGATCTCGTATTTTGTACCAGGTACTTTGCAAGGGGGATATTGAAAAAGGATACTTTGGTCAGTGCACTATAGTATATTCTTTTCTTGATGTATATTCATACCAGTATCTAAGATCTTTTGCTTGTGATAGATTTTTATATTGTAATTTTAAGCTATCAGCTATTGAAAAATATGCTAATTGTTTTCTAGATTTTTTGATTTTTTTTTTAGTTGTATATCGTGACTCTTTACATATAGGACATGCATTAAGATTAGTATTTTGTCCAGTAAATGCATAGCAAGAATTCCAACAAATATCTATAAATTTTCTAAAAATTTTTGAAGTCGATAAAGAGAAACTTTAGAAATATTAAATATTTCTAATATTTCATTAAATGCTTAATCAGAAATTGTATGTTTATCTTTGATATAAAGAAGCTAAAGCCCTTTAATTATTTTACTTAGTAAATCTAAAATATAAAAATATTAATATAAAAATTTTTAAAAAAAAATTTTAAATAAAATATTAAAAATAATTAACTATTATCAAAATTCTCTTCTAATTCACCCTCTTTTAATTCATTCTCTTCCTTCAATTCATCCTTCTCCAATTTATCTTCCAATTCATTCTTTTCCCATTCATTCTCTTTCAATTCATCCTCCAATTTATTCTCTTCTAATTCATCCTCTTCCAATTCATCCTCTTCCAATTCATTCTCCAATTTATTCTCTTCTAATTCATCCTCTTCCAATTCCTCATTTTCTAAATCTAAAATATAAAAAATTAATTCAATTTAAAAAAATTAATTCAAAATAATAAAAAATTTTTTTAATTTTACTTTGTTCAATATTTTCCTCAATATCCTCCATACTTTCAATATTTATTTGATTATTCAAAATATTATTAGATGTATTATTTGAACTTGGATAAGAATTTTGAAGATTTTTTTCTCGCTTCCTATGCCTTGTTCGAGTAGAGATACTTAACATTTTATCACAACCATTAGTTTCTTGCATGCAAAAAATACAAGTGCATAAAACTTTATTATCCATAGTGTCACGAGTTTCATGCTGTGGAAATTGGGCTTAGATGTTTTTTTTTATTTATCTCTTTTATTTTATTTTTATTTTTATTTGTATCTTTTGTTGTTTATATGAGGGAAATAGTGGTTAATAATTGTAGACGGTTGTCAACAATTGTGAGTAATTGTGAGTAGGCCACCAACAATTGTAAGCGACTGTTGACAATTGAGAGTAAATGTGGCCAAGTAAGTACAATTGTAAGCAATAGTTTTAGTAGTGAAGATTAGCCATAGCTGCGGAAGTAAGAAAGAATCAAAGAAGAAGGTAGAGATTATAAAAAAAATGTTGTAGTTATAGGAAATTAAAAATGTATTTAAAGCCCAAGTTTTGTCCTTAATAAAATTTCTCTCAGACTTCAATGTCTTGAATAAAGTAGAAATTAGAATCGAATTCTCATATTTATTAAAAAAAACTGTTTAATAAATGTTGTTATAGAACAACTTATTTTTATTTTTATTTTTATTTTTTATTTCTGTATTGTCATTACCCTGCAGTTATTTCTCAACATTACCTAGTTCCTGGCCCATAATTCCAAATAATTACTATAGTTATCTACAAATAGCCATATTATCATAAGTCAACCACCCTTTACCTAATATAAACTCATCTTATTGTCCTGAAAGTACCTTCACGATATCACTTCAGCTTTAGCTACTCTTTTAGTATATCCTTAAATTACATGCATAATCCAAACTTGGATCAAGTTAAAAAGAGCCCGATCTTGATCTACATAAATTGAGACCCTAAATTACAAGCCTCACGTGTTTAAAAGTTGTAATGAACAATATATATAAATTCTTTGAAGTTTACTATTGGAGCTAAATTGCTTATAGATTATTAACGCTCTCCCAAAACAATAGTAACAATAGCTAATTATTATAAAATTTATAAATTAAAGATAAGTATTTGAAATATTAAAATTTTTTAAGTTAATTAATTTTACTACTAATTATTAAAAAAACTAATCTTTTTTTACTAATATTTTTTTTTTTGCAAAAAACAAACTCATATTTCGCCAAACTAATAGAAAAGCAACTACAAAATCAAGTTGCGAAAAAATTAAAAGAATTAATAGAATTATATAAGAATAATCTGTAAATAAAAACCTGTTATCAGACTTTTGATTATATTTTGTATAGTTAGCTGTCTATCAAAAATCTATCATTATGATAGATTTTCAATAAATGGCTAACTATATACAAAATATAATTAAAAGTCTGATAAAAAATTTTCTTTGATAATGCTCATATTAGACTTACTATAATTGTTATTTAAATTTATATAATTATCTACTATTTAATATAATCAATATTTCAATTTTCAAAAACAATATATTACAATAAAAGAAATCTAGCAAAACAAGTACAAAAATTAATACAAAATTTTTAATATCCTTTAATATTTTTAATAAAAGCAGCTCATTCATCTTTTCTGATATTCTCTAACCATGTAATACTAACATCATCAATTATATCTAAAAGTACCCAATTATTATTGAGTGCTTCAAGTAATTGATGCAAGCGAGGCCCTGTAGTAATAAAAGTTGTAAGTTTTCTTGACGAAATATTTCCTACAAAGCCAGAAATATTTATGTTTAGCTCTGAATAACTTTCTAAATCTTGATTCTTTTTTCTTTTTCTTACTTTAAAAGAATCACCATCAATAACATGTTTAATATTAAATGAATTGTTTGATTGATTAATATTAAACATGTCATATAGTGATTTTTTCCCAGTAAGTAAAGCCCTTACTTGAGTTGCACACTTGGTTCCTTTTTCACGTGTTGTGTATTTGTTTATTCATTCTATTAAATAATTGTATGCTATTTCAAATTTATACAAGAATCGAAGCAATATTCTGTGAGAAACTTCAATATTGTAAGTTGTAATATTACAATCAAAAATAAACTGATAACATGTGCTCATTAAAGTTAAAAAAATTTGTACTTTTTTATCTAATGTGTTATATTTAGATAAATTACTAACACTCAGATCCTGAAAAACTTTTGATGCACACCTTAATAGCATGATTTGGTCTTGCAAATTTAAATTATCATTTGAATTTGATAATATAAGATTTTCATATTCCAAAGCTAATCCACCATCAATCTGAGCAGAATCAAATTGAACTATTGAAGATTTACAAAGTATAATAAGTTCCTTTAGATATTTAAAAAGACTTTTATAATAGTCATCTTTTTTAATAGATGAATTTTTATCATAAAAAGGGGCTATTACAGTTAATTCGCTTTCAAATGCCAATAACTCGTGATATTGGTTTGAAACTTTCAATTTATTTCCAGTTAATATCTCCTTTTTTTTAGTGGGTTGGAAATTAGCAAGATAGCCAAGATATGAGTAAGGATCTTGGCTAACTTGCTTTTTACCAACCCATTTGAATTTAAGAAATTTAATGTTCTTTACCAATACAAATGTTGCTATAGTATCTTACTAAGATTATACTTTTAGATTATTAATTTTATTTAACATAGCTATTTTATTTTATTTTATTTAGTACTCATGTTTAAATAATTACAAAGTTAAGTTTAACCTGAAATATTCTTATAATAATAATTAGTATAGTAATGTAATTCAGAATCAAAATTATAAGGGTAATTTTGATAATCTCAATATTTATATACAACTGAATGAATTGGGAAAAAATTAACTATTAATCTAATATCTGCGAATCTTAATACAGCATCACGAAATCATGTTAAGTATCTAAAAGTGGCAAAATAATTCAATTCTACAATTATGTAATTACAAAGTCAAGTTTAATTAATATTGATAAAGGTCTGTATTTTAATAGCAATTAGTATTTGTGTTGTGTATTCTGATTAAATTAACTTAAAATATTCTTGTAATAATTAGTACAGTTTGATAATCTCAATACAACTGAACAAATTAGGGAAAATTAACTATTAGTTTAATACCCACAAACCTTAATATCACAGAATCAAGATAAATATCCAAAGTGGTAAAATGATTCAATTCTGTATTTAGATAATTACAAAGTCAAGTTAATACAGTAACATAATTCAGAATCAAAATTATAACATACTGCAGAGGGAAAAAATAACTATCAGTCTAATAGCCGCGAACTATAATATTACAGAATCATCTAAAAGTGGTGAAATAATTCAATTCTGTATTTAGATAATTACAAAGTCAAGTTTAATTAATATTGATAAAGATCTGTATCTGTTGTGAAGTTCGAGACACAATTAGCATTTTTGGTATATATTCTAATTGAATTAACCTGAAATATTCTTGTAATAAAAATTAATACAGTAACATAATTCAGAATCAAAATTATAATATAATACAAGAGTAATCTAATGTTTATATACAACCAAACAAATTGGAGAAATAAACTATTAGTCTAATATCCGTGAGTCTTAATGCCCTGGAATTAAGATAAGTATGATTATTTACCAAATATAGCAAAATGATTCAATTACTAACCTTGCTCAAAATCTGGTTTCATCAGGATTTTTAATTATAAGCTCCTGGAAAATTTTTAATTTTATAAATAAAATTTCTATACATTAATGCTAGCTAAGTTATATTTAATTATTTGATAATCAATTTATTTTATAATTAGGAAAGACAAATGGTCTGCAATTGTTCTTTGGTCATAAATAAAGAGATACACTATAAATGAAAAGGATAGAATTTTATAGACATGATATTAATTAATTATATATTATACAAAGGTTTTAGGATTACTAATATATGTGAAAAAGTTTTTATAACAATTTGAGATTAAAGACAAATTAAAATCAGATTTAGAAAATGAGTTTAAAGAGTAATTTGATATTTAATTCAAAATTCAGGGCTTTTTACCCTAATTGTACTATGTACAACACAGCCTTATAATGTGCAAATATGTATATACAATTCTGGTTTTTTAAACTGTCAATTTATAAACCGTGATATTTTATTATTGATATTGTTTGATACACATATTTGGTATTGAATTTAATGAATTTGATTAGTTTATAGGTTTGACATTATTGAATAAAAATGGGACATATGTTTGGGTTTTGGTTATGAACCCAAATCAGGTAGAAATCCTGATTCCCAAACCCAAACTATGTAGTAATGTCATACTTTAAAAAAGTGGTTTGGGCCACATCCCTAATTGCAGTAGTATTTTCCATTTTAGCAGATTTTTGATAATAAATGAATGCTTTATGTTTATCAATTTCAATTCCTATTCTATTTTTATAACAACTTGCAAAATTATATATCTATATTGCAGAAGCTTTTTCCATTTTGGCAAATTTTTTGATAATTAATGAATTCCTTTTGTTTATCTTTTTTAACCTCTATTCCATGTAGATAGCAATATCCAAGTCATTTATTGCAGTGGTATTTCTCTTTTTAGCAGATCTTTAATAATAAATGAATGTCCTATATTCATTCTTTTTAATTCTTTTATAAAAATAGCAGTTTGCAAGCTCATATATTCTGTTAGCATTTTCCATTTTGGCATATTTTTGATAATTAATGAATGCCTTTTGTTTATCTTTTCAACTTCTATTCCGATTCAATAACAATCTGCAAGATTATTTATTGCATTAATATTTCCCTTCTTAGCAGATTTTTGAAAATTTATAAATATCTTTTCATCTTTTTCAATTCTAATTTCATCTCGATAGCAATACTCAACTTGATTTATTGATTAGTATTTTTCATCTCAGCAGATTTTTGATAATTAATGAATGCCTTATGTTTAGTGCTTGGATCCAGTTTACAAAATCCAGATGCATCCGGATATAAAAAGAATAACAGATATTATTTTTGAAAAGTGGATAATAAATCCAGATTTTTGTTTAAGATTTATAAATCTGATTTTTTATCCAGATATTATGTTAATCGCTATCAACCAATCAGAGAACTTCAATGTGACTTTGATCACGATCCTTGTTTCTCTTTTTAAATAATTTCATATATTATTTTGCA